TTTCTCTACACAGCCTATTTCCTGTCTCCTTCCTACAGATAGCTGACCTGTAGTCTCATATTAGTCCAACCATCAGGCAAGCCTACCTCCTGAATTGCAATGTCCCTGGAAAAGCATCTCCTTGGTCTCTCTTTGAGGCTGTATCCAGTTCCATCACCAAATCATCCTGTCAGCAGCTCATTCCTCCCATGTGATCTGTCAAGCAAACACTCCCAGACAACATGCAGGAGCACATCCTGTCAAATAGCAAAGGTATGTGAAGTCCCTGGGCTTCCAGGGACCTAATCACTTCCTCCATACCAGGTTGTTCAGCACCATGGACTTGCAGGGTGAACAGAAACATGGCAAGCACATACATCCCTACACCTCCAGGCCCAGCCAGGGAAACCAGCTTAGAGAAGGACTCCACATGTACCAGTCACTCCTCTCCATATCACAATGTTATGTAGACTGTGTTTTAGAAGCCCGGAGTTCTACCTGGGTGGTGACAGCACATGCCTTTAACCACCAGCACTTGGGAGGCAGAGACAGGATCTCTGTAAGTTGGAAGCCAGCCTGGTCTACAGAGTTAGTTCCAGGACAGACTCCAACGCTACAGAGAAATCCTGTCTTGAATAAAAAACAAAGCAACACAAAAGTTACTTGCTGTAAGGCATAATTCTTATATTTAGACTCAGTTGACCATTTATAAAATATAGTTGTGCTGGGGTAACCAGAACTTCAGTTAATCTGTGAAAATAGGACACGGAACACAATTTCTCCACTCCTTCCCAGGCTCTGCCTCATCATGCCGCTCCCAAATACTTTCAATTTCTTTGACTTGTCATCTTTAGCAGGTCAGTGAGACTGTGAGTTCTCGAGCCTGCTTCAACATCTTTCTGGAGTCAGAAGTTTGCAGTTGGATGCTCAGCTGTCTCCCTCCACATATAGAAGGCTGTGGCTGAAAATTCAGGACGCTGCCTTCCACTCCTTCAGTTGTTTTTACTTGTTGAGGCTGTGAGTAGCGTTAACGCAGAGAAAAACTTGACCAGGTATGCTTAGGGGACTCCTCCCATTTCCAGGCAGCTTTCACTGGGCTTTTTAAAGTTAATGCAAAACCAGAGTTGATGTTTTTTCTATCACCCAAAGGATGAGAATCGATGAGCACACATTAATGAGTAATAAACAAGGCTGCTTTTCCTAAGATGGACAGATGATAGCTGGGGGCGGGGAGGGGGGCTGGCACAGGGCAGAGGGCGGAGCAGCGGAGCCTGGAAGTGAAGCCCTTCCCTGTCCTGGAACAGACTTGCCTCCCTTGGCTGCCAATGTCTCCTCTTCTCACCCTGGGAATGTTTTCATGGCACACATTTGTAAACATTTTTTTTAAAAAAAAAAAAAAAACACAAACACATTTTTTAAAATAGCCTGATGTTTTCTTCATGCCCTGGTGACTCAAGAATCCCCCTAGAGGTTGAGGCAAGTTCTGTCAGTTGGCTTACCCCAAATCACAAGACATTCAACTTTTGAGGAGACACTCCACCCCAACCCCAGCCATAAACACTTGTTTTACAAACAACAGGAGTTACGGAACAGAGAATGTGGCAGCCCAAGGTGGGGATGTGTAGGTTCCTCAGAGTCACCAACATCACATCCCTGAGAGCAGCTGTGCCCATAAAAGGAGGGAGTCACACTGCCTCCTGGGGACAAGCTCATACCACCACCCCTGACATCTTCTCCTCTATGAAAGTTCTATGTGTCCCACCAGTCCACACCCCATCTCTTGGCAGAAACTACGGTCAATATTTCCATTAGGACCTCAAACCATATTTTCCATTGAAAATAGTAAAGCTAAAACTGTTTCCTGCTGAATTGCAGATTAAAAGAGAGAGGGATACACACAAACCAAGAGCACTAGTTGGGAATTTCTTTCAGTGTATAAGAAAAACCCATAGCTGGTCTAGTGCTAGTGCTTTTTTTTTTTTTTTTTTTTTTTTTTTTTTTTGCTACAGGAAATAAAATTGCTTTGCGTACTTTTAAAAGAAAAAGAAGGAGAAATAGATTTTAGCCCTCACCCTTCAGTGCCACCCATCCAAATACTACCTTCTGACCATAATGATCATCCCCTGAGCCCCATTCCATTTGATGACCAAAATCCCCAGTAACAAGGGCCCAGAGAAATTGGGTGGATGGAGACCGCAGCCCAGGAATAGAGTTCCCAGTGGTGAAATTCCAAGGGAGAGAAAACACACAAACATTGGAAGCTTGCAAACCACCCAGTCACATCAACAGAAATGCAGGTTTGGGGAACATCTCAAAGCAATATTTAAATACCTACTACAAGCCAGGACTATCTGATCTAACCCTAGCCAGAGAAACAACCACTTATGTGTATTGGCAAATGCTAAGCTTAAGCATATTTCTGGGGCCAGGGACTAAGAGAAAACAGACAGACAGATACCCACACAGTTTGTGTAAACAGAGTCATCTGAACAAACCCTGAGAGTTAATTACTCTGGAGTCTAGCACCATCTGAGCTTGCTTTGGATACCATACACTGCCTCAGTCCTTCAAGTGATACAGATCCCTGAGTTTAACTGCACTGATGGGCTCTAAACACACAATGCCGTGATGATTACAGTCAAAGAATCAGACTTTGAGTTTTCATACTACAAACTAAACATTTGAATCACTTTCAGAATGCATATTAGACCCCCAAATTCTTAATGTAATAGCATCGAGGGTGGGACCTTAGGGAGGTAATCTGATAGTGGAGATGCTGCCTTCATCAAAGGGATTAGTAAGTAACGCTATTAGTAAGTAACCCTATCAAAGCAGTCATGATCTCACACTCTCCCATGAATACAGGAAGAAGTCAGGCGAATAAAAACCAGGAAACCAGACAAGTTACCAAGACTGCTGGCTCCTTGACCTTGTATTTTCCAGCCTCTGGCATATATAAACAAAAAAATAAATGCTTGTTGTTAAACAACTCTGTTATTCTTATGACAGCAGCCCAGAAATGGGATGCTGTGGGAACAAATAGCTAAAGAATCAGACCTGGCTTTTAAGATTAGAGGTGGGAAAAGTTTTGAAGTGTTTGCAAGATGGACAGAGCATCGCATGAAGAGACCACTTGAAAGTGATTGTGATAAGGACTCGGGCGTAGATGGGGAGAGCTAGGGAGAAGGTTCTGACCTCCCTTGAAAATGGGTGCATAATCCCAAACAGAATGCTGGTTGGAATGGATGGCAAAGCCCATTCTGATGATCTCTCTGGAAGAAATGAGCAAGCAAAAGATAAGAGCCATCACTGTGACATCAGTATGAGAACATGGCAAAAGCCTGAATAGTTATGTTTACATCTCAGCACCCTGTGAAAGGTAGGACTGGAATACCAGTGAGTTGCTTGTTGGCTTGAGGACACTTTCAGAGTGTTGAAGGGCAGCTTGCTTCACTGACTGCCTGCAGGTTGCAGATGCAAGAAGAGGGGGAGATGAATTGAAGAGGGGTCTGTGATACAAGAAGAAAGCAGAAGGCAAAGATTTGGGTGTTCTGAGCCATTCTGCATTACAGAAAAAGAAAGAGCATGTTCGGAAGACAAAGACTTACTGGTTTACTCCCATGCTGGATTTGAGAGCTGAGGACAGGCCTTATCCAGCACCCACACAGCCGGTGGGGTGGGGTGGGATGGGGTGGGGTGGGGTGGGGTGGGGTAGGGTGGGGATGTTAGGGCATTTCTGAGCCAGCTGCTTCAGGATTTACTCTTCACTTACTGACCTGGAAAGGGCACCTTTGTTAGGTCAAACCACTTGCAAGCTATATTCAAAGATGAAAGGTTACACCTGTAAACTACACATTGATTGGGAGGGTGGGGAAAGGGGGTAACCTCCCCCAAGGAAGCTTCCTTATACTCACTGAGACTGAAGTTAGAGCCATAGCATTTGTTGCCTCAGCCTGACTTAAGGTGAGGTGTTCCACAGACTCAATTCTGCCTTTAAAGAATAGAAGGATAATCATGCAGAATTCCTGTCAGACTTGAGAGGACCAACTGTGGGAATTATCAATACTTCCCAGACACTGAACACTGCATGCTAGGACAGAGAGCACAGGGAGACTTGTGGAATGTCAGTGGTCTGCTCCATCATGCCTTTATCCCAGCCTTTGAGTGATGCTGGCAGTTAATGAAGGCAGTCTCTGACTGCAACACTGTAGGGCTCAAGATCCAACTGGAAATACCCATGCCTCCAAAAGCACTTGAGGGGAAGCTCAGACTGTGTCCGGCTTTTCTGTGGCCACTGTTCTACCATCAGCTTCATGCTGTTCCAGTAATTTCAGGTTTAAAGCATGCTATAAAGTCTAACTGCAAGTGCCTTGTCCACTTATTTTACTTACCCTTCCTTTACTCTAGGCTGATGCCAAAACAGTGAAATACCAATCCAAAAACAGAATTTCTTTGTAAAGCTACTACCATTTGACTGAATGCTATTGGGCACATGGGTGCATTTGGGAAGTACTAACTACTTCATAACTTGATGTCTTCCTTCCACAAGATGCAGGAACTCCTTCTGTTTTGGCTTCCTGTGAACAGCACTTTCAGTTGGGTCCAGAACCTCACCACACATTGAGGCTCTGAGGAAACAGAGAAAAGGGAAGTAAGAAGTGGCCTACCTTTCCTGTCCAAGCCCACCCACCATCCTGGTACCTCTTCTCCCTGTCCTCAAGCAGCTTCCCTGAACTTCATGACCTCAGGTATCCCAAACCTTCCTCACAATCACTACCACCAGCATCTGGCATTTCAGCATGCTGAAGCATGATCTTTGGAGTATGCCCTTGGGGGCCCAGTCTGCAAACTCTCTTCAGGCCCTTTGATTTCTCTATAGTTCATCTCAGTCATCCTCCATTTCCCTTCCTGTACAATTGCAAACGCCAAAGGCTCGCTTAGCTTAAGTAAATATTTTCCATGGATTCTATTAAAAGTGTTCTCGAACTCATATGCCATATAGTGGTGTGGGCAAGGGAAAGATGTTGGCAGTTGGAAAGATGTTGGCAGTTGGGAGAACTGGCCCTGAGGTTATAAGAGTGGAAGAGCTGTCCCTGCCCCTCACCAGCTGGAGCACTCAGGAGAGTGGCCTCTACACCTCAACTGGGCAGCACAGTAGAGCTAGCCTTGGTGATGTAGATGGCAGTGAGCTCAAGCTAGCCCCCAAGGGTGTGAAACCAGGGAGATAAGCCCCATTCTTGTTCATTGCTGCATGGGTGAACTACCTGGGACTCTACCGGAGAGCTCACCCTGGTGGTGGCGTGGTGGCGAGGTGGCAAAGGTAGGTGGTATCAGGATAACCAACCTCACAACAACCCAGTCCTAGAGCCAGTGCTATGAGTTGGCCCACCCCAACATCCACCTCATCTAAGATCTGATGGAGTATGTGAAATAGCTGGTCCTACAAACCCAAAGCTGCAGGATCTCCCAGACACAGGACAACACCAGGATAAACCAGAAGAGTCCCAGTGAGGAACCGGCATTGGCTGTGTAGCAGAAACAAGAGGCCTCAAACCAGTGACTCTTTGCAATGAACACTTGCAAGTAAAGATATATGGACTAAAGGATTTACTGTGTGATTCTCTGTGTCACACTACAGCTTCCAAGATGAGATATGATCTCTCTCTCTCTCTTTCATTTTCTTTTCTCCTAAATTTTATTTTGTTGGGGGTGGGGGAGGTTGCAAGAGCAGAGGGTGGGGAGGGTAGAGGGCAGATACAAGGGACAGGGAAATGAGTGAAATTGAGATGAATGATGTGATTGAAAGACACAGAGAATAGGGAATCTCAGCGATCCTCAGTCTCTGCCGCATCCTCCTGCCTGTCGCCATGGCTGATCCGGCACAGCGAGAGCGCCTGGAACCTAGAGAACCGCTTCAGCAGCTGGTATGACGCCGACCTGAGCCCGGCGGGCCACGAGGAAGCGAAGCGCGGCGGACATGAATTTGACATCTGTTTCACCTCCGTGCAGAAGAGAGCAATCCGGACCCTTTGGACAGTCCTGGATGCCATTGACCAGATGTGGCTGCCAGTGGTCAGGACCTGGCGTCTCAATGAGCGACACTACGGGGGTCTGACTGGTCTCAATAAAGCAGAAACTGCTGCTAAGCATGGTGAGGCGCAGGTAAAGATTTGGAGGCGATCTTATGATGTCCCACCGCCTCCAATGGAGCCCGATCATCCCTTCTACAGCAGCATCAGTAAGGATCGCAGGTATGCAGACCTTACTGAGGACCAGCTGCCCTCCTGTGAGAGCCTCAAGGACACTATTGCCAGAGCACTGCCCTTCTGGAATGAAGAAATTGTCCCCCAGATCAAGGAGGGTAAAAGAGTTCTGATTGCAGCCCATGGCAACAGCCTTCGGGGGATCGTCAAGCATCTGGAGGGGCTCTCAGAAGAGGCCATCCTGGAGCTGAACCTGCCAACTGGCATTCCTATTGTCTATGAATTGGACAAGAACTTGAAGCCTATTAAACCCATGCAGTTCCTGGGAGATGAAGAGACCGTGCGGAAAGCTATGGAAGCTGTGGCCGCTCAGGGCAAGGTCAAGAAGTGAGGCGAGCAGGCAGACTCCTACCCTAATGCCCTCCTCCCTGCCTGTTTACACCTCCTGCACCCTTCCCCAACTCCTGCCACACTGACCACATCCTTAGGATCTTAAATTTAAGTTGTAGCTGCAGATGGGGACTCGTGGCTCCCATTTTCATTTAGTCTTTTATCCCCTGCACCCATTCCCTTCATAGAACCCAGTCAGGAAAACACCTGGGGTGCAGGTTCTTGGTTCACCATCCAGGGACGGCTCCTCTTACCAGGAGGGTTGAGAGTAGTAATTAGATTTTCTTAGTCCTCTGTTTACTAAGGGGTCTGCTTTAGGAAGAGGTCAGGAAGGAACCAGTAGAATGACCAATGAGAAGCTGCAGCCAGGCTTTGTCCTGGAGCTTGTCCTGCACTCTCCTGCAGTTAGGTAACTGGGGGCTGTAGCCATTTCCAGTGGAAGGTGAAAGTAACTCCAATGGTGATTAAAACCTTCTACCTTCTTCTGAGCCTAAAGGAGCTGCTGGCCCCGGAAGGTTGGGATCAATCCTGTCAAGTCTGTGTTACATTTACTTTTACAAAAAAAGGGTACGTGTATATTTATCAGCAGAAAAAAAGCCCCTCTGCTGTTTCTAGTGGTGATTGAAATAGTTCCATGTGCTCACCAGAAAATAAGCCATTCCTGTCAGATGGGATAAACTCCTTGTCCTCCCGGGGCAGGAGTGCTTGCTGTGTGTTGGTTACCTCTGCCGTGTCTTGTAGAGGTGAAGTGCCCCTTGATCATGTCCAGATTTTGTCTTTCACTGTCTGAATCATGTTCCAGCTGCTTGGCCCTACCATGTGGGTTCAGAATTCGTTTGGGCGTAACTACTAAATCTTTCCAGATCAGTATAATAAAGGAGTGATGTGAAAAAAAAAAAAAAAAAAAAAAAAAAGACACAGAGAATAAATAAGTGTTCACTAAACAGGTGTCAACCAACCTTCATTTCTATTTTATTTTAGTTTATTTTATTTTATTTTATATAACCAAGTCCATTTAAATGAAAACAAACATTTATAGACAATCTTTGGGAATTTGGGCGTCGTTCTTTCCAAACTACTTCCTACTCCAACCTTCATTTCAAATGGAGACTCCTACCCTTCCCTTCCTGGTCATCCCTTCTTGGATGAAACAGACTACTGCCACCCCCTCTTCCTGTCTAATTTCCTTAAAGAGGAGCCCCCTCATCCACTCACCTGAAGGCCATCACAGAAGTGAACCATCTCTCCATGGCTTCCTTCAATCCCTTTAAGCACAGCTGAGGAATGTCTATCAGGATGTGACTTGACTATGTCCAGCTGTGGCCAGTGTCTTCCCCAACTGGCTGTTTCTTTCTCTCTAAATTTCCTCACAGTCACCAAGACAACATCACACAGAAGACATGGTTCTGAAGCTCCAGAGACCAGATGAGGGTCACTGGGATTGGTACTGGCCATACAAGGTTTATCGCAATCTACTGATGCAGGCTTCTTGTCTAACAAGAAGCAAGATCAAAGCATGATCTTAATCCCAGCACTCAGGAAGCAGAAGGAGAAACACATGGATCTGGGTGAGGCTAGCCTGGTCTACATAGCAGTTCCAGGCAAGCCATGGCTACATAGTGAGACCCTGTCTTAAAAAAAAAAAAAAAAAAAAAAAAAAAAATGTAGAGTGGTTTGATTGATGCTCTACTGTCCAGCTCAAAGGTGACAGAACTTCTACCTAGAGCAAAGCTGGTTTGGATTCGGGCCATTTTAGCACATGTACCACAGTGCCACTGAGAACTTGTTTACTTTGCTTTTTCCACAAGGTCCTTCACAGCAGGGAACTCACCAGGTTGTGGTACCCTGGAACATCTCCCTAGAATGTCCATCAACTCATCAAATATTATTGAAGAGCCACTGTTTGAAAACCCACATTTCTGGGCAACCAGAGGGATGGCTCTCTTGTTATTGCAGTTTACTGCAGACGTGATGAAGATTAACATTTACCATGACCTTCTTCAGAAAGGGTCTCCAAAGGGATGGTTTCCACTGAACATAGCTTAAAACAGCCACCCGCACTGAAATCATCTCTGGATTTTCAGCTTTGCAAAAGCCTAGCATTGCATCACCACTTTCAAAGTTGGCCTGACTGTGTCCCAACCTTGGACTCATCTTCTGCCCCTTCAGCTGCTAATCATAGCTATTCTATTTCCACTAATGAAACCAACCTTCGCCTACCACCTCTCCCAGAGAGACATGTCCCATCATACAATAAAGGGCAATCATATGCACTGCACACATGATGCAAAAAGAGAATGACTTAGTTCTTCCTCACTAGAGACTTTGGGCATCTCTGCTCTACAGAATACAACAGGTTCATGACATGGGGTCCCCATACCAGCTCCGTGAGTTCACCTGTGGAGAACTATTCATTTTACACAAGTATCTACATTGCTGGCCACAGTATCCTCAGAAAGCCTTAAGAGAAAATCATTTTCTACCAAGAACCTACTCTGTATCCCAAACATCCTTTTTTCCCAGTTTGGCTGTTCAGCACTCTGCCTTCTGTCAAATCATCAAAGCTCTCCATGGCTTAAAGTCAGAATCTTCCATCCTATTGTTACCACTATTTTCTCCCTTCACAGCCATAGTCATGTTTTAAGACATGTTCTGGCTGTCTCTTCAACAAGGATCATCAGCTTGATTCATGCAGGTACCATCTCCACCCCAAGTACAAGTCCCAGCCCATAAGAGATGCTGTGATAAATATCTGTGGCCTCCTGGTCCTAATTCTGTATCCCTTCTATTCTGAGAAACAGTTTCTCCAAATGTTCCTGATGTATAATCCCAAAATGGAATTTTATCAATACTTTTATTTTTTTTAAAACTTTAAACATGAGATCACAGTAATTGGAGATGCAGTTTGTGCCCATAAAGACTACTTCATATAAATGGACAATACCTATTGAAGTCATGGCAATATCAAGTAGCATATGTGATATAACTGGCTTTTCTAAGCCACACACCAAAGGGGATCTGAAAATATGAGCTCTCCCTTCCCCTAACCTGCTACCCACTATTGCAGCCAGGGCCTCAAGCCTACAACTTTGCAGAACTGGATTGCCTCTGTATGGGGAAAGAGGAGTGTCACCTAATGGGACTTCTAACCGGGGTCTGTCTGGAATGGTTGTGATCAACTTATGGATCCAGAGGCTAAAGGCAACCCTCCTGGCGTGAGCTTTCTCATGCCTGACCAGGTGCCAGAAGGCTGCTTCTGCAGAGGAGGCTTTTATTCACAGCCCACACGGGGCCTTTCAAGCTTCTCTCAAATTGCCTCTCTACATCCCTTTTCCTCAGGACCCTTCGGAAGTCTTAGGTAGTTCTAAAGACTGGTAAGTGGGGTCTCAGAAAGCTCCTGTGAGACCTCGTATTGGTAGTAGCAGCCATCAAGCCTAGTCAGCATACCCCTTCCTAGATAAACCTTTGCTAGTCTTCCTTATTCCATCCTCCCTTCCTTTTGGCTTTTTACAAACAAGTATGTAGTCTTACAATTTTGCCTCTCAAAGACACAAAATTATGCCAGGAAAAAAAAAAAAAAAAAAGCAAAACCTTCTATCTCAGCCCGGCAAGCCCCATGTGTCGTCTTCCTTGGAGCATGTCTAGAGAGCTGGATACACCCACTATAAACCATTTCCTCCTCCCCTTTTCTGCCTTCATTTCACACACTTCCAAAGCCTGTTTTCTTACCATAGCTCAACTTCATAATCTCTACCATGCCACCACAGACAGTCCCTGGCTTATACTCGCCCCAACGTGAATCCCGCAGTCAGAGAAAAAAATTCTACCGCTAGGCTTTGAACTTCTAACGACCAGATACTCTGCTCACTACCACCAGATCTACAAGGCTTTGCCAGAGCCACCTCTGGCCTTCTGTCCCCGGATGCTAAGAGAACCCCTGCCCTTTGGCAGAAACCAACCTCTCCTGCCTCTTATACAGGAAGAGGAGGAGGTGTGGTTTTTTATGGCATCATCTCCCTAAGGCAAATCAGGATAGAACAAAAGAAAGGCTTTCCTTCTTTTGCGTGGATGTAATATAAATGGTATCTCTGCTGCTTTCCTGGATTTCTTACACTTCTTTGAGAGTTCCTCCTCCTTTGTCCAATCCCAAAAGCACCTGCTTTTTTCTGTGTGCAACCCAGTAAGTTCATCTGGGCCTGTGGCCTATTTATACCCAAATGCAAGTGATTCCCCAATCCCTGTATTCTGCCTGGCTGGCCCCTTTCTATAAGCTCTATCCCTTAATAGCAAAGAGATCAAAGATACCTCAACATGACCAAAACTCAGGACTGTGCTTCATAGGCTGGTCCCTGCCCAGGCATTACTTCCTGTATATAGAACTCCCTGATCTATTGCTCATCCTTCCTCAGGCTTTTTTTCATTTTATTTCTTCCCCTGGCATCTGCCCTATTCCATGGACTTTGAGGACAGCCTCTACATCTGCCTTCTTATGGCAATGATGTCTTCTCTGTAACAGGGAGATTGAAATGTAATCATAAAATCCCCTCTGCTTAAAAGCCTTCAACAGCACTGCATCCCCAAGTCTTCTGGGATAAAAATGAAAACACTGAATTTAGTCTGGAATTTTCCATGGTGTCTTAGCTTCTTTTCTGTACCAGAAGCTGTACCAATATATCACACACACACACACACATTCTAGCCAGGCCATGCTCCAAGCTAGTGGCCTTTACCTTGCCTGACCATCACAAAGAGATTTCTCCAAGGATAAAGAGCCCATTGCTGTTTCCATGACATGTGTGTATTCCCAGCATCTAGATAAGGCCTGGCACATAATGAACGAGAAAAGAACAAAGTACACCCCACCCAAGAGGAAAAGTGATCAGGATAAGCATTGGAACTCAAAGACAGCCCTTGATAGTCTCTAATTCCCAGGTATTAGATATCTGGCCTTTGTTAAAGATATAACAAAGGGGGGTTACGGGGGGGGTACAATTTTCCCAATAGCAACAGAAACTCAGAAGAGAACTGAGTGCTAAACATTCAGGGAAAAGTCATGATAAATGATATATTTAAGTATCTGAGACTTTGCCTTTGCCTTTACACCTCTAAGGCCCCAGTACTGACAATGGACGAACAAGCTTGTGTAATCTTGAACTGGAAGTTGCTTTGGAGCCCTGCAGGCTGAGATCAAGAGCTTCTCAGGCAGGTGGGCCAAGTGAGGTCACAGAAAGCCTTTTGGTCTGCAACTTTCCTCAGCTGGCTCTGCCAATGTATCCAAAGGTTTC